GCAATGTTGACTTGGCCATCTCCACGAAACATTTGCGAACTTCGTGGATTCCTGGGCCTTACCGGCTATTACAGACATTTTGTGCAGGGGTACGGGTCCATAGCACGACCCCTTACCGAATTACTCAAGAGGGGAACGTTTGGGTGGTCAGACTTGGCCGATGGGGCTTTCCTCCAACTGAAGAAAGTCATCACAGAGCTGCCAGTGCTCGCCATGCCGGATTTCACGAAGTCATTTGTCTTTGAGACGAACGCATCAAGTGGAGGCGTAGGGGCCGTTCTTATCCAGGACGGGAGACCAATTGCTTACTTTAGTAAGGCATTGGCGGCCACATCTCGGCTGACCTCGGTGTATGAGCGCGAACTTCTAGCCATAGTGCTTGCTGTCTAGAAATGGTGCCACTATCTCATGGGAAAGCACTTTGTAGTTCGATCGGACCAGCAAAGCTTGAGGCACTTGTTGGATCAACGAGTCCTGCCACCAGAGCACCTCCGGCTAATAGTCAAGCTACTAGGGTATGACTTCGAAGTACAGTATAAACAAGGGGGCTTCCAACAAGGTGGCAGACGCATTATCACGGAGGGGAAACGACCCTCCTCTCACTTTCTCTGCCCTGTTTATCAATCACCAGCTGAACACCAGGGAACTCATCAGGGAGCAACGCGACAACGCCGACCGCAATGATACCATAGAGCGAGCCCTCCAGGGTCAACCACTCCCGGAAGGCTACTCCCTCAACCAGGACCTCCTATTCATTCGTGGCCGATTGGTGTTACCACCCTCATCCAGTTGGGTCTCACGCATCTTGCACGATTATCATGACTCGATGGTAGGCGGCCACTTAGGATTTTTGCGTACCTACAAGCGGATTTCAGCGGCTTTCTTTTGGAAGGGGATGAAGAAGACTATCAAGGATTATGTCTCCTATTGCTCTCCCTGCCAGCACGCCAAAACAGAGGCCTTATCCCCCGCAGGGTTGCTGCAGCCGCTACCTGTTCCGCAGCAGATTTGGGAGGACATTTCCATGGATTTCATTGGAGGACTTCCCAAATCCAAAGGTAAGGATACCATATTTGTGGTCGTTGATAGGCTATCCAAGTACGCTCACTTTTGTCCATTGGCGCACCCTTATTCCGCTACTCAGGTGGCCACCTTGTTCCTCCGGGACATAGTCCGTCTACATGGCTTTCCCCATTCCATTGTAAGTGATCGAGACTCTGTTTTCATGAGTCTTTTTTAGAAGGAGTTGTTTAAACTGCAGGGGACGAAGTTGCACCCAAGCACCACGTACCACCTGCAAACGGATGGCCAAACCGAAGTGACCAACCGTTGTTTGGAAACTTATCTTCGTTGCTTTGTGTGCGACAAACCACGGCAATGGCTCGCTTTCTTACCGTGGGCAGAGTATTGGTTCAATACAACGTATAACGCTTCCATTAAATGTTCCCCCTTTCAAGTGGTCTACGATCATGACCCTCCCGCCTTATACCGCTTCATAGATGGCTCGACAGCAGTCCAAGCGGTTGAGGTGCAGCTCCAGCAGCGCAACCAGATGTTGGATGCACTCAAGCATCACCTCTTACTGGCTCACCTTGTTCCTCCGGGACATAGTCCGTCTACATGGCTTTCCCCATTCCATTGTAAGTGATCGAGACTCTGTTTTCATGAGTCTTTTTTGGAAGGAGTTGTTTAAACTACAGGGGACGAAGTTGCACCCAAGCACCACGTACCACCCGCAAACGGATGGCCAAACCGAAGTGACCAACCGTTGTTTGGAAACTTATCTTCGTTGCTTTGTGTGCGACAAACCACGACAATGGATCGCTTTCTTACCGTGGGCAGAGTTTTGGTTCAATACGACGTATAACGCTTTCATTAAATGTTCCCCCTTTCAAGTGGTCTACAATCGTGACCCTCCCGCCTTATACCGCTTCATAGATGGCTCGACAGCAGTCCAAGCGATTGAGGTGCAGCTCCAGCAGCGCAACCAGATGTTGGACGCACTCAAGCATCACCTCCTACTGGCTCAGAACCGTATGAAGAAGTTTGCGGACAAACACCGCAGGGAGGCCCAATTTTCACCTGGAGACATGGTGCTCTTGAAACTCCGTCCTTACTTTATGAAGACCTTGGCTCGGAGGATTAATGAGAAACTCAGTCCCCGCTTTTATGGACCCTTTCCAATCCTCGAGCGTGTGGGACAGGTGGCGTACCGCCTTGACTTACCAGCAACCGCCAAGATACATCCGACATTCCACGTGTCCCAGCTAAAGGCTTTCCGTGGTCTGCATCACCAGGGGCAGCCCCTTCCTGCACAGTTGACTGAAGACTTAGAGCTCGTCGTGCAACCGGCTGCGATTCTGGATTCTCGCACTATCAGTGTTGGGGGACATCAAGTACCCGAGGTGTTAGTCCAATGGGCAGGCTTACCAGAGTGGGATGCTACGTGGGAACCCCTAGCCACGATCTCAGAGCAGTTTCCGACTTTCAACCTTGAGGACAAGGTGTTGCTTCAGGAGGGGGGTAATGTTAGGCCTCCACCCCCACCCCTTAAGTTTGTATATGCTAGGAGAAGGAAGAAGGATAATCAGGACGTGGCAAGGAATGAGCAGGGTTAGTTTCGGGATTTAACTAGGATGGGCTAGGGGGAAAGTTGTTACGAATGGGGATCTGAGTATGTGAGGATCCCGAGAGTCTGTTATGGGGAAAACGGGGAATTAGAGGAGAGGAGGAGAGAGTAGGACATCGAGAATTTGGTTAATAGTCATTAAGTCTGTGGGAGGCTTGGGGGGTCCTCGAATTCCCTTCCATCTTTCATTCTGTAGTTCTTCTCAATATCAATAACAGGAACCAGACCCTTTTTCTGATTAATTAACCTTCATTCAGTTGTAAAACCCCTACTAAACCACGAGGATCCTAACAGATACAAGGCTAGGTTGGTGGCCAAGGGTTATACTCAAACCTATGGGATTGATTATCAAGAAACATTTGCTCCGGTTGCAAAGATGAACACTGTTGGAATTTTATTGTCACTAGCAGCTAATGGTGATTGGGATTTGCATAACTTTGATGTCAAGAATGCATTTTTGCATGGACAACTAGAGGAGGAAATTTATATGGAAGTTCCACCGGGTTATAATAAAGGGTTGACTGCTGGTACAGTATGTAGACTAAAACAGTCCTTGTATTGACTTAAGCAATCACCGCGAGCATGGTTTGGGAGGTTTGCTAGAGTAATGACAGCTATGGGATATAGGCAAAGTCAAGGAGATCACACTTTGTTCATTAAACACTCGCCTTCAGGTAAAGTTACAGCCCTATTGGTGTATGTTGATGACATAATTGTGACCGGTAATGATGATAAGGAGAGAACTTCAAAGTCAATGTTTGGCTAAGGAATTTGAGATCAAGACGTTAGGAAGATTGAAGTATTTCCTTGGGATTGAGGTGGCTCATTCTAAGCAAGGCATTTTCATCTCTCAACAGAAGTATGTTACAAATCTACTCAAAGAAACCGGCAGCATGCAAACCAGTGAGTACTCCAATAGAACCGAATCTCAAGCTTGGAGAGGCAGAAGAAGATGCTATGGTGGATAGAGAGATGTATCAACGGTTGGTGGGGAGACTCATTTATCTTTCTCACACTCGGCCAGATATAGCATATACGGTGAGTGTGATCAGTCAGTTCATGCACAATCCAAAGGAAGTTCATCTGCAGGTGGCATACAGAGCTTTGCAATATCTCAAGGGGACACTAGGTAGAGGCATCCTTTTCAAGAGGAATGGAGGGTTAGTTCTTGAGGCATACACAGATGCTGACTATGCTGGGTCAGTTGTTGACAGAAGATCAACTTCAGGTTATTGCACCTTCTTTGGTGGAAACCTGGTGACATGGAGGAGTAAGAAACAGAATGTGGTAGCACGGTCTAGTGCTGAGGCAGAGTACCGAGCAATGGGTGTGTGAACTACTATGGTTGAAGATTGTTCTAGAGGATCTGAAGATTGCGTGGGACGGCCCTATGAAACTTTATTGTGATAACAAATCTGCAATCAGCATAGCTTACAACCCGGTGCAGCATAATCGAACAAAGCACATCGAGATTGACAGACACTTCATCAAAGAAAAGTTGGATAGTCGACTGAGTTGTACACCTTACGTATCTACACATAGCCAACTTGCTGATATACTCACCAAGGGGTTAAGTAGTTCAGTGTTTGAGAGTTTTGTATCCAACCTGGGAATGGTGAATACCTATTCACCAGCTTGAGGGGGAGTGTGGAAGAATGTGTTTTACACGTGTATAGACTAAATTAGGAAAGTTTGAATATAATAGTTAGTTTCCCTAGAATTAGGTTGATTTGGTTAGTTTCCTTTTTTAGTGTGATATCCCACAAATTATGGGGTGTGATTACCGTTTCTAAATGCTAGGGCTCCTGTATATAAACCGGTTGTAATTGTCATGCAATAATATAATTTTTCCTCTCAAATTACCACAATATACGTAAAATGATACAAATGGAATGTGGAACTTTGAGGGTCCACAAACTCCCCACTTGTAATTAGCTCCAAGATTTTCCCAAACAGAAACTAAACTTTTTCCTCCCATCTTTGTTCCCCCCATCATCCCTTTTATTCACTTTTCTTCCTCTCACTAACTAGAAACTAACAATCTTCCTTAACAAGCTTTGAAGCAATCTTTCCTAACAAGCTTTTAAGACAATCTTTCCTAACAAGCTTTATAATTCTTCTTATTCTTTCTAATGTATACCTGCCTAAGTAAAGGCTTATCAGGCTGAAGCGCAACAAAATTAATCAATCAAACCCTTGCATAAACAAAACTTAAACTTCAAATGCTGATGACTGACCAGAACGCACAATAGTTTTTGCTTTTGAAAACGTAACAAGATTACTCTAAACCAGCATGCTCCTCCTAAAATCATAATTCATAAGAGTAAATACAAATTTGGGGTGGAAAGGAAGGTGAATAAAACACCTGCACACTCAGTGTAGCAAGATTGAAGCCCTCAGGAGTGAAACCATATTTTTTCCAAACGCTAAAGAAGGCACGATGAGTTCGAATTGCAGGGTCAATATCCCCCGCTAAAACCTTCCAATAGATGAAATGAATGAATTCAATTTATGAAGATTATAGAACTCTCGCTTATCCAATATTGCAATATAGTATAGAGAAAAACCTGAAGGCCTGGCCAGAAAGCCTGCAAACTGTTAAATAACGGCCAGACAAGAGCAGCAGAATCCATGTTTACCTCCACGTACCTGCAAACAAAACCAAATTCAATGCTCTCTGGAGTTAAAAAATGACCGGGTAAATGAAATGTATTTTTAACCACTAACATATAAAGGATAAAGGTTTTACCAAGGATCGTTGAAAAGATAGTACATGGCAGCTGCATAAGCTTCCTGAAATATGAATAAATACTCTTCATCTCCAAATAATAAATAAGCCTGAAACAAGATAAAGTAAACAGAGATGAGAAAAGAAAACTGTGGGCCATCAAAATGAGATATAAATTGGCAGGCTTCTTTCAGAAACAAAAGATAAATATTGGCAAACTCTCATCATTCAAGTCACTAACAATTATCTCATTGTTTGAGTAGAAAGACGTAGTTCTTAAACTTGAAAGGTAAAGTCAAGAGCTCTTATAAGCAGGATTTTATATAAGAAAAATGTATTTGACCTGGTGAAAACAACAATTCTTTTTATAGGAAAAGAAAACTAATAACTCATTTTATATAACCAAAATGCAAAAGTAAAATACCAGAAGGTTTTGACAATTCAAGTCATGTTACTAACCTTCAGAAGATACTCATAGAAAGAGTCGATACTAGTTCCTATTCCAGCATCCTGCAAAGCAGCAAAGAAGACATCCATGTTGCATACATGCAAAAATAAGGAAACGGAGGGGGTAAGGGAGGCAGCATAGTCTGCATATAAAAGAAAACAGTGAAGACTATTGAAAACATCATCTGTTTAATGTATACTTATCGACTTAAGGGTTCTTTTGGAAGACCAGACCAGAGGCACAAACGGGATTAGAATTGTCATTGTTTCAAGCACCAGAAAGGCATGGTGGGATAGGATAAACTTGTGCTCAACATAATTATAATCCCGCCATAGGATTCATAACATGCCAGGGGTGAAAGGTTCAAAGTAGAAAGTGATAGCAGATAAATCTGATGGGGATAGTGCTATATGCAAGCAGAAGATCATCTAACTGAAAGAAAAGATACCTTTTGTGTCCATTCGCCAGTAAAAACATTAATATGAGCACCCACTAAATTAAGCTTTGAGCGGCGAGCCCAAAGTCCACGCACTGCATTTTTGGTAACTTGCTCAAAAACTGAAATAACAAAAGCATGGTCATTAGTACATTATAACTTTAAAATAGACTTTCCAGTTTCCCCCTTCCCAAAATAAAAAAATTGAAACCACCAAGCATAGAGAATGACCTAAAAAATGATATGTGCAATGCGATAACAGGAAAATAAAATAAAATTTCTTATCGGCATAGCCCCGAGAGCCCATATACAAAATGAAAGGTAAAACAGGAAGAATGGACACAATCAAGAAATGACAACCAAACAGAAGAAAAGATAGATTTTTTCCGCTTAAGGCAGAAGCTACCCTAAAAAAAAAAAA